GTGAGACCCTGTGTTTCCAGTAGTGTTAGCAGGACAGGTAAGGACAACAGTAACAGGGTCTTATATGCATAGCAAAGCAAGAACATTGAGTTTTGTGCATCTTTGCCATTGATTTCAGTATTCAGAGGATCAGAGGACTGTCACAAAAGAGCACTATATGAAGCTGCATGCATTGCACAGCCTCCACTGCTTGTAGGAAACAAGGTGGAGAACTGATGGTGGCAGTGGCCAAATCCACTCCAGGCTCAACTCTTCTCTTCCCCTGGCACTTAAACACTATTCTTAGCAGTGCCTCCAGGCAGGGCTCCCACGCACTGATGGATTTCAGCAGCTGAGAGGTGACCCAAGGCGACTGCTTAAAAGGAAGAGCAAGGATTAGGAGGAGATCTCAGCATCAGGACAAGATTTGGGCTGTGAGCTTGCAGAGCTGTGGTATATACTTATTAGTGTCTTGGCATGGATTTGTTCATGGATTATGCCCTGTGCCATAAAGTCAGAGGCAGCATTACCTTCACTTCATTGCTCACAGGATCCAGCTTTCAGTGACTATGAGGCAGGCAACTGTATGACTCAGTCGTTTTCTTTTTTCAGAAGATGCATAGCATAATGCAGCATGATCCACAGCTCCTGTGTAGTCATCCAGGCATCTCATGGTATATGGGACACTGCACAGCACCTGGACAAAATGTATATCTGGGCTAAGCAGGGCCCTTACTGCAGGCCAGTACTTGGCTTCAGTGTGAAAACAAGCAGGAAATCAGCAGAGCAGTCCAGGACCAGAGTATTTAGGCTCCAGTATAGAAGCTGAGGCTTTTTCCGAGGCTGCATGAGCTCTCTCTGGGGATGCAAACCTCCTCAGAAGGGCTGGGAAATGAGAGCACAAAAGAACTGAAGATTTCTGAGGGAAACTATGAGTGCAGTTAAAAGAAGGGGGAGTATGATTAGAAAACAATGGGCAGATTTTAAAGGCTTGCCCATCCCATGGGCAGAGGGAGGAGATTCTCTTTTTGGAAGTAAGAACATCGATTATAGCCATGAGACCCTGGATTTGTCTAGGAGTCAGTGGGAAGGCATGAAGGAACTGTGGCATACGGCAGTCCCTTCAGGTGGATTAAACTTCATAACTCCATAATGGCACACAGGGATTTGTGCACTACTTGCTGAAATAATAAAGCAAGAGGCAAATTCCTCCCTCATCCCTCACAACCAACAAATTACTGTAACTAGAGCCTGCCAAGGGACAGCTGGAAAAGGCAAGGGCCTTAAAAACACTCATGGGCAAAAAAAGCGAAGCAATCAGTATCCATGCAGTATGGTGTATCTGCCTGACACCCTGAACTCTGTAGCTCAGAGCTACACATAGCAAGCTGTAACAGAGGTGCTTGCAGCATGGCTGAGGCTGGGATTTCAAAACCAGGTTGGACTGAAATCCAGGCAGTTGGAAGGGGCGGCTGTCCCCACACCATGCCTTATGCCACAGAGGGTTCTTATCGCCCTCCTTGCGATGCCTTGGGAATACAGGTGCAAGGGGCACCCTGCAAGGTGCTTTGCCCTGTAAGAGAGTGGGGTGTGCTTTGGGCATGGCTGGGTGCTGCTGGGGAGGCATACACATGCCTGAGAAGGCAGCAGCAACTTCAGCACAACCAAGATGAGAGCAAGAGCAGCATCAGAGGTGAGGAAGCTGAGCCACTGTGAAAGCAAGCACCCTTTCAACAGCCCACCCTTCCTTGGGACTCACACACCCTGAGCTGCTCCTCAAGGAAAAGGAATTAACCAGGCACAACCAGGAATTAACCAGGCACAGTGCTCAGCTCAGCTGGGTGATACAGCTGCAGATTGCCTTGCCCAGCCCCAGTGGGCAGGCAAGTAGCCCTTCAAGGTACCAGCACTGGAGGCTGTGTGTGTTTTCAAGCTCGATTTGGAGGCAATGCCAGAAGAAACACCCCATGCTTGTGCAGCTCTTTAGGAGGGTGTGAAATGAACTGGATCAAGGAACTGAGGTGAGTTTAAAGTGTTTATCTTTTGGTGGACTTATTTTGAAGCCAGCTCAGTTCTGCTCTCTGGTTTGTCACAGCCAGATTGGCAGATACCGGCAGAGGGGAAAAGGGAGGCAGAGCTACTTACATAGGCATTGCTTGTGAAAGAAACACCCATGAAGCCATCCTCCAAAAGCCAGGGCAGCGCTGCGTGAGCAATGGCACAGCACACACAAATTAGTGTCTCCTTTTGCCTGAGTTTTGGGGGGTGAAAGGCAAGAAACAGACACATTTTTCACTCCCTTTGCCTGCAAAGCAGCCTCTTATCCGCAGAGCGCAGAGCTCCTGCAAGATAAGAGCCCGTGGGGAAGCCAAGATCTGCCCCTTGTTTGTACTGCTGTTTACACTTGCCTTTTAACGAGCTCCAGCAGATTCTTGCTTCCAGCTGCAGTTGGCCCTTTTCAAAGTTCACGCTCTCGTTTTGCATTATCATCCCAATGCCAAGCGCTCCCTAAGAGAGGAGAGGGACAACCGGGTCTTTTTCTCTTCTGAGAAGCAGCAGCAATTTAAGCAGTCCTTAATCCAGCAGTGCTTTCTCGGCTCTGCTGGTATCATGGGGAACGGCTGCAGGGAAAGCGATCCCTCTGCAAAAAACACTTGGCAGAAGAATAAATGTTTTCTTCCAGCAGATTAACACCGGATGGCAGTGAGCACCCTCATCACAGTGCTGGTGGCCTGGCCCCTGAGCAGGGCATCCACCGCTCAGTTTGGAATCGGTCTCTGTTCTGCATCTTTTCCCCATTATTGTCATCCTTGCCATTTCATATGATTTTCACTGCTGTGCTTGCAATCAGATCTTTTCACTAGTCCACATCAGGGTCCTGCTGGCAAAACAGCCATAGTGCTGGGGCTTCCTAATGGTTACAAGATACTGGCCCCCCAAAAAAACAAGCACTGGAAGATCTCACCTGTGCTGAGAATCCTGGTCCTGTGGTTGCTTTGGTGCTGGTACAAGTACTAGTACAGCATCCCTGCCAAGCTCCGCCTGGCTACCCCTCTCAGCTGTTTGAGTCTAGGGCCGTTGATATGGATGTCCCAGGCTGGGCACCTTTGGAAAGCTCACCCATAAGTACCTTACATACACACGATCCATGACAGCTAGAAGCTTATCTAGCCTCTTCCCCCAGTGCCACTAGAGGCAGATGGCCAGGAGATGTGGAAGAAGCAGTCCTACTCCATCACAGCAGCTTGAGGGTAAAGGACTTCCCAAGGTTATCGTTGCGTGCTTGTGTTCAACAGCCTAAGGCAGAGCTCTGCATGAGTTTATCATTTTTTAACCCTCTTATACACGCTCCCCAAAACGTATTTCAGACACGGCTGCAGCCTTACAAGGTCGAACTGTTAAAACCAACCTGCTGATTGGTGACTCTGCAGCAGATTGACCAACGTGCAAAGACAACAGTTTGCTTTCTAACCATTCACAAATGGCCTCAAGGCACATCCCCCAAAAACCCTCAATAAAAAGAAAGCTCCATCACCCTCAGAGATCTCAGTACCATGCAGGGCTCCCACCCCTGGCACCTTTTTAATTGTGGGTTCCCCAGACATCATGGCTTTATATTCTGATCTTCCTCCTTCCGCCAAGTGCTTCAGTGCTGGTGGCTCAGCTGGTTGGATCCAGCTGGTCTGTGGCAGCATCTGCCTGGAAATTGCTTGTCTTAGCCCGAGGTCCTTTATTTCCTTCCCTGTCAGCTGCAGCAGAGATCTCACTGCATGCTGTGGCGCTCTGCTCTAAATGAATCCTTGCTCCTTCTCGGGGTTTCAGTGTTAGTTTTCCATCTATCCGTGAGTATACAGCAAGCTCCAAATCACCCTGGTTTTGTTATCCTCCTGGGCAAAAGGTCAGTGGTTATCTGCTGGACAGGGACAGCACTGGGAGCCCAGGTCAAACAGTCAGGGACTGCAGATAGACCAGAAAAAGCAGGTAGACCTTTTGTGGGATAAACAAGATATTACAAATGTCCCACCTACTGTGCATAACCTGGGACTAGAGGGAGTCTGTGGGGTCAGGGGAGAGCTCAGGAGGAAATTCAGGTGGGAACATGGGCAAGTTTGGGCTTTTTTTGTTGGTTTCTTTTTCTGAGCAGCGTGAGAGGAAAGGAAGCAGGAAAGTTAAGTCCTGCCCAGTCTGTCCTGACCCGAGTGAGCATGGGAGGTCACTGCTTCAGTATCTGTTCCCTTCTCAGGTCTATGCATCCTGCTTTCGGGTGTTTTGCTTACTAGCAGAGATGACGAGGTTGAGCAGGGCTTGGAGCAACCTGCTCTAGTGGAAGGTGTCCCTGCCTATGGCAGGGGGTTGGAACTGGATGAGCTTTTTCCAACCCAAACCATTCCGTGATTCTATGTGCCTCTCATCCGCTGAGTGATGGGCCTGATGCCAGGGGCACTCTCTGCAGATCAACCCACTCTCTTAGCATAGTTCACAGAGATATTTAATACAGGAGTTACTGTGAACCATCACGTCCAACGTCATTTCAGCTTACAGCAAAACCATCCGAGGTTCAAGGCTGCTAGCGGCAGCCACCAGGCACTACACAAAATAGAGGCGGTTGTCCACAAGAGGGAGAGTCGGCGCCAGCCTCGGCAGTGATTTTGTGCACAAGGCACTTCGTTGCCTGGCGAGCGTAGCAGAGCCGTTCCCCTTGCTTCACTTCCTCCTGTAGGGATGTTTCCTCCTCCTGGAGATTCCCCTTTCCACGTTATTTCCCCCCCTCCTCTTTCTGCAGGTGTCCACAATTTTATCTTTGTGTGCGGTATGCCGAAAAGCCACACCATACATGCACTGGATGTGGTGCCATGGGAAAGGGACTGTGATTAAGATGGTGTCTCTGGTCATGGCTGGAGCTCTCTCTGAGTGAATTAGAGTCAGAGAACCAGGGGAAGCACCAGCCCTTCAAACCAGTGACCTTCCTCCAGGCCATCCCACCCCAGAGAGATGTCCAGCTTCAGCTCATTTCCACAAGCTGGGGGCACCACAAGCTGCTCTGGCAGCAACCGATCTCTTCCCTACATCCTTCCAGTTGTCCTCACATCCACACAGGAAGGAGGCACGGACCAGCTGTCAAACATGTGCAGTAGAGGGGAGCACCTGCCAGCTGCAGGTCCACATGCCTTTCACTTACCATGATCCATACACCCAGCACTATGCAGCCTTTCCCAGGGCGAGCTCTCCACCATGAACAGTCAGGACTCTGTGCCAGCCTTTGCTGATCTTACTCTTCCCTTTTCTTCCCTGCTTTCTTCTCACCAGGGTTTTGGTGAGGCCTTTTCCACTCTGTGGTTGGAGGTGCTCCTTTGTGCTGCACCAGCAGCATTTTCCCTGTGGGATCACCCCAGTAGCTCCACAAACAGCATCCCTAAGCCACCAGGTCCAAAGTTTTCAAGATACATTTCGGTGATGTTGGCCAGTGATTTAGCAGAAGCTGTAATGAAGCTCGTAGCATTCCTGAGGGAGTTTCCTAACCTGAGAGCTTAGAGGAATGTATCTGGAGGAGATCTGTACAAACCGCAACACCAGGATCACCACAAAGACCCCAGGCATTGCCCCAACTTGGCCACCCTCTGGCCACCTCTGGCCTCCAGCTTGTGCTGAGCTGGCTGTGGTGTGGTGGCAGCAGCAGCCAGTGATGTTTCTTCAAGCATGGAGGAGAAAATAGCTCTCCCAAGGAAACAAAGCAGGGGAGCTGCTGGCTCCCTTTGGAGAGAGGGATTTCCAGCCTGAGAACAAAGCTATGGATGCTTCCCCCAAAGCACATTGCACATGCTGGTGCTAACGTTTCAGGCACTGCATACAAGACTGCCCCAGAAACAAGCACTGACATGCAAGCATATGAGCTCCTAGGTCTGAGCATTGGCCAAACAGCAGTGCCAGCTGGGGGCATTGGGCAAGCAGGGCAAGGAGAGCTCTACCATGTCCAAAGCGAGATGATTTATCAGTGCGCCCGCAGGAGCTGGCTTGCAGGACAGCCACACCATTGTGAGAGATGCTGCACGTGGTAGGGGATGCAAATCTACAGAGAACACTGGGGGAAGAGAGAGGTGCCAGCTTTGTTGTAAGCCAAAACCTTAATTGCTCTGCTCCAAATTACAACTGTGGGACTGGGCGAGCTCATGCACCCAGCAAGCCTTTTAGAGCAGCTTATCACCATCCAGCGGGTGCAGGAAAGCACAGCGTGAGGAACCAGCACTTAATCCCAGCTCCTGCAGTCACTCAGAGCGCTATGTTCAGCAGTACGTGCTCCTTTAGGGTAACCTGAGAGGATACAAGAAGACAACAGTGCAAGCAGCAGCTTAGCAAATATGACTAACTACTGCAAGTAGCATGTTTTAACTTGGCTTTAAGCATGCTGACAGGAAATAACATCATCAAAAGCCATCAGACATGAGAAGGTGAAGAAGGAAGAGAAGGGCCACCCCCTTGGCAGGGCTAAGACAGCAAGGTTATTTACAGAACAGCTGGTAGACATATGTCTTATTTATACAGGATAAGAAAGCTAAAACCCTCTGCTGTTAGTGCAAAGTTCTCTTTGTGTTATGAGCAGGATCATTTAATAACACACAGTTACTTCACGTAGATTAAGATAGAAGTAATTAAAGGAAAGGTTGTGCTCTGAGGCAGAGTTCCCCTGGCACTCAATCCTAATCCATGGGGAAGCTGTCTCTTGTAGGTACCCCCAAAATCAAATCCCCAGACTTCAGACCATTTTCCCCAGCAGCTTAGCTGTTGTGTCCTTTGAAGTAACATTTTAGGTTTAAATTCAGATCCTTATCATCCTTTCTTACCTTTAGCTTCTTGCTAGTTTATTATCCATACAGCCATGAATTTCAGAACTCCTTGCCTCGTTAACATGCAAACCCCCCTTTGATGTGTCTGTTACACCACACTCTGGCCATTCAAGGCCAGGCTGGATGTGGTTCTGGGCAACCTGCTGCAGATGAAGATGTCCCTGCTCATTGCAGGGGGTTGGATTGGATGAACTTTGAAGACTCTTTCCAACCCAAACCATTCTGTGACTCTATGTGCATTGCTGAGAGCCCAGGTTCATGGGACAGATTCCCGTGCTCCTGCCAGGTATCAGGGATCAGGGCTTGCTCCCTGCCCTGATGAAGAACCTGAAGGTCAGAGTTAGGAGGATATTAAGGGTTAGAAGGAGACCTGCCTTGGTACCAGAGCTGGGAACAAGGTCTCCTCGGAAATGTTTTCATCCTAAAGCAGAATAAACCCATGTAGATCCCTGATACAAAGCCCTGCCAGGATGCCAGGAGGCTTTTGGCTTGCCAGGAACCTAGAAGAAATAATTTGAGCCTGAGTGAGGTTGACATCAAGGTTTTCTCTCTTTCCTCTCCCCTCTATGAGCTCACCAGTGAACCAGAAGCAATGGTTTTGGCCATCTGGAGAGTGAAATCACAACAGCAGCAAATGCTTTTCAGATGCCTCCGTGAAGTATGAAACTTGCTCCTTCCTTTCTGTCTCTGCCCATGTGTGTGTGCGTTTTGAGCCTCCTTTCAAATCCGCAAGAACCTGACTTCAGTCCTCTTGCAGCAGGAAAACATTAAACCATAGTTGCCCCAGCTCTCCATATTTTTTCTTACCTGCCCAGCGCACACAGGCCATGCTGTGGACCAGGGCACTGTGCCACAGAGGTGCCTCCAGCACTGCCTCAGCACACAGGTGCTGCTTTGTACCCCCATGGGGGGACCCAGGCAGCATCAGTGGGTCAGGGCATTGATGGCTTCAAGGGGACAAGGGGAGGGAAAAAAGAAACCAATAAACTCAAGTGATGAAGAACACAAGTGCTCGCCATCCACTGACCAATACCCAGCCCGACCTGAGCAGCAACTGGTCCCTTCCGGGTGACTCCCCCCAGGTTATATACTGGGCAGGATGTGCTGTGGTATGGAATACCCCTTTGGCTGGTTTGGGTCAGGTGTCCTGTCCTGTATCTGCTTCCTCCTGGCTTCCCCTCCTCACTGGCAGAGCATGAGACTGAAAAGTCCCTGGTCAGGGTAAGCATTACTTAGCAACAACTAAAACATCAGTGTGTTATCAGCACTGTTCTCAGGCTGAAGCCAAAACACAGCACTGCACCAGCTACTAGGAGGGAGAAAAATGACTGCTACTGCTGAACCCAGGGCAAGAACCAACGCAGCAGCTTTCCACAGTGAAGAACCCAAGGGAACAAAGCAAGAGGGATATCTTGTGAAGGCCAAGCACACCCCCCAGCTTTGCAGGAGTGTTTTGCTCTGTAGCCGCACATTCCCATCCCGCTGGGGCAGCCTAACCCTGACTTCTCGCTCCTGCTTTTTATAAAGCTACCGACATTTGAAACGAAGCAATCTAATTAAAGAATAACTATTTAGTTTGAGACAGGCAGGCAGGTATCCGGGCCCGTTTTCTGACACGATGCATGATCCGACAGGAGCGGCGCCGCGGGCATCGTGTGCTGTTCAAACCCAATTTGAAAATACATGGCGTGGCAGCAGAAGTAGACGTGACCCTCGGCACAGCCATCACCACACACATAAACAGCTCCTGTAAAATGCCACCCGTGATTTGCGTGGCAGCAGTGGAGCAGCATCACCCACCTTCCTAAGCGCTGCTGTGATAAGCCCATGTGAACACCATTGCAGCACGTTCCCATGGCAGGGCTTGCGCAGCTGCCTCAGCTTTGGAACCCCAAATTGGGTCCCAGCCTTTCCTGAAACCCTAAGGGGAATTCCTGCCCCCTTATGCACGTGACCTGACATCCAGCTCTTGGCATGCTGGGAGATACCTGAAATGACTCTGCTACCTCTGCCACATCTAAATTATTGCGACACCTAAGTGACAGGTGAGAGCCAGCAGTGTGGGGAAAATAACCTTCTCACCCTTCAACACTGAGGAGCTCACATCCAAGCATCCACACCCCAGAGATGCTGAGGAGCATCTGCAGGGATGCAGGATGCAGAGATGCAGGAGCAGCAGCACCAGCTCCAAGCCCACATGCGCACCTGGAGATCGACCCAGGCCAAGAGCTTTGGCTCAAACCCAGGTGCTCCTGAAGCAGCCCTCAGTTGCAGCAGAAAGGGATTCAGGCACAGACCCAGCTTTGGTGAGAGGGGTTGGGAAACACAAGCTATAGGGCCACACATCACCCATGAATGGGAAAACCGTCTCTGAGTGGCCTGAGCCTGTGCTGGGTCCCTACAGGAGCAAAGGGGTATGACCTCACACATGTGTGGCTCCACGTGAAAGCACAGCTACCTGCAAGACCTAATGCAGTCTAGAGATAAAAGAGATATGAGAGACCCTTTCAGGCCCACCTTGGTACCCATATGTGGGAAACCAGCAGGGCACTTACGGGGTTAGATACAGAAGGAAAACCCTAAAGGAAGTAGCTTTGGGATGGGAAACTACAAGTGAGCAAATCACACAATACCACTGAGTTGGTGTACCCACATCCAGGAAAGGCATTAACCAAGCAACGCAACGTCTCCATGCCGCCATTGTGATGTCTAATGGCCCACCCATTTTGATATCAGAAATTGTAAATTGCAGCGATGGCAACTTCAAGTCAGCTTCAAGCAGGTGGTACCAGACCCAGGTACATCATGGCCCTGACTATTCCAATGGGTAAGACACAGCTCCGGGTGTTTAGTTTGCTGCTGAAGCCACATCCAGGCAACCCACATGCAGAGCAAGTCAAGAGGGGATGCTCTGTGTCCCCTCTTGGCAGGCTAGATCTGGCTTTGTTTGCTCTGGGTCCTCATTCTAGTTCTATCTTCATGAGCAGATTATAAAGTACAGCTCAGAATATGCCTTTCTGGTTTTGCTGCCTTGGATCATCCTCTCTGATCCAGCCCTGCCGTTCCCGTGGGTCATTCCTTTGGCAACCACATTTATGGCATGTGGTTTCTCTGACATAGACGGTGAAATGGCAGTGTCTAAAAGCACTCCTATTTCCCCCAAAGCCTGGAGTCAAATTGAAGGCAGAAACATTTCTGGGCATGAGGCTTGGCTCTGTGCATGTTAGGACTTTGTCCCACAGGGAATGCCTGGCTGGCAGAGGGCACAAGTGAAGGGTTTGGACAAGATAACTCCTGCTCTGCAGCAGTCCCTGAGCAGCACTGCAGAGCTCAGCACCTGGGACCTGATCACTTGCATGGCAGAAGACATGCACCCATTGCTGGTTTTCTCCTCCTGGCAACTCTCGCTGTGTTTTGGGCACAGATGTTCAGAATCAGTGCTGGTAACTGATCTAGAAACACGTGGCCCCAGGAGACCCACAAAGCTGTGGCAGCAGGGAGGGAATGGAGTGGATGCACTTGGTGAGAAACATCCCCAGGGTTCGCCTCAGGGCCCGGCTGTTTTCCAAGACATGCTTTCTGCACACCTCGGCTTGCTGGGGTCTCAGCCTTGGCACTGCCCACAGGATGCTCCTCTGTGCCTTTGGGCCTCTCAGCTGTGAGGATCCAACACCAGAGCATCAGGTACCTCACACCTTCCCAAGGAGACCCAAGTATAAACCCACCGTGCATCTGCCCAGCTCAGGAACAACCTGGCTCTTGGCTCTGCCCCATGGCCACACCAGACGCACCCCCAGTGCCATCGGCTGCTGGGGGATGCTCAGCCAAGGTGTTTCTCACAGCACCACATCGTTTTTGTCAAGGTGTTTCATCTCTGATGGAGAAACTTGAGGAAAAGCAGCTGCTGAAGACTCGCAAAGCAGGATGAGAGCACACCATGGGCGAGGCTTCAGAGCACTCATTTGGTTTTCTTCAAGTGAGTTTATTACCCACCCCGTAGGGAAGGGGGTAGGTTGCCTTTTCCCAGTATGCGAAGCCAGGGGAGGCTGGGAGGCCACTCACTCCCAGCCACAACTCACACACTCCACATGCTGTTTCTTCCCCCAAATGGGAAATACATATAATCATAGAATCATAGAATCTTTAGGGTTGGAAAGGACCTTAAGATCATCAAATTCCAACCTCCCTGCCATGGGCAGGGACACCTCACACTAAACCATACTACCCAAGGCTCTGTCCTACCTGGCCTTGAACGCCGCCAGGGATGGAGCATTCACAACTTCCCTGGGCAACCTATTCCAGTGTCTCACCACCCTTACAGTAAAGAACTTCTTCCATATATCCAATCTAAACTCCCCCTGTTTAAGCTTTAACCCATTACCCCTTGTCCTATCACTACAGTCCCTAATGAAGAGTCCCTCCCCAGCATCCCTATAGGCCCCCTTCAGATACTGGAAGGCTGCTATGAGGTCTCCACGCAGCCTTCTCTTCTCCAGGCTGAACAGCCCCAACTTTCTCAGCCGATCTTCATACGGGAGGCACTTAAACACGTGGCCAAGGAAACTTGGTGAACACAGCTCCCTGCACACTGCGCAGCGATTCATCACCCCCAAGAGAAACCCCCCTGGTTCCTTGCTAGGGGACCAGGTCATGGCCTGCAAGTCACAGTGGGTTTTCTGAGATACCTCCCTGCTGTGGCTCTGAGCATCCCAGGCCATCACTGGGGGCCTTGGATGGTCCCGCTCCCACAAGTGGGGTTTAGCAAGAAGATACTGGCTGATGGTGAGGAGATGTTCCACCATAGCCCACAGCTCACTGATGAGCCCAGGTATTCACTCCTGTCAAGTCAAAGCTATCTGAGACCCCAGGGCTGAACTGCTGTTTTGCACAGCCACTCAGTGACCCGAATTGCAGAGCTGGGCTCTGCCTGGCCTCCCCACCACACACAACAGCCCTCAGCAACAGCAGGACCTAGATCTCAACCAGGGATGAGTTGGCTGCAGCATTAGCTGTCATCTCCTGCCTTCAGGGCTGAGTCTCACCCGGTTTGACCCTGAGCAGTGTGTTAGACTCGTCTCTCTGGACCTTGGCTCAGTTGCACTCATGCCACAGCATTAGTGGCGAGCAAGGGTGGGTCAGGTCCATTTCTACACCATGAACCCCATTGCTGGTCTGTGGAGGAGAAATCAGTGCATTATGCCCAGGTCACAGCCCTGCAGCAACTCATTCCTCACCCTCCAAGGCAAGCTCAGCAGCCACTGGCTTTTCCCCAACCCTGAACATTTGGTTTTGCCTCCCAAACTTTCCATTCAGCCCACCAGGATGCAGGTATGAAACCTCCTACTACCACTGCATGGGATTGTGCCTGTTTTCCCTTTTCCTTTTCCTTTCTCCATAGCTGAGCACGACATGGGAGCAGGCAGCAAACCCCTGGTGCCTTGCCCATGATCATGCTGGGGTGAGACAAAAGCCCTCCCAAGCCTCCCATGCTCAGGGCACCAGCATCTGCATCCACTCTTCACTGGGAGGAGACCTGCCTCCATCCTCAGTGGAAGCATGGGGACAGCCAGTAGCATCTCGCCAACGTGAGCCACGCAGGGCTGAAAGCAGGAGCTCTTTCAAGGGAGCAGCACCTCTTGGAGCAGAGGCAGTAGAACAGGGGTGCTCTGACCAAAGAAGTAAAGCCCCAGTGTTCTAAAGGCAAAGGGAGGTTTCCCAGCCTCCCAGTGGGGAGGACGGGGGACATCCTCTCAAGAACAGGAGAGGGTTGCAGTGCTGAGGCTGCAGATGAGCGCAGAGGCTGCTGCAATAGAAGCATAAACCTGGCGGAGCTGCTGTTGCTGCAGAGCTCTGTGAAATGGGTGATTTCTGAGCAGAGTTTGGCTGGAGAGCGCCGGGGCTATGAAAACCAAAGTGACTTTGGGCTTGGGCACTTCCTCCTGGCACACAAGAAGGGGATTTGTGATCCAGAGGAGGAGGAACTTATCAGAAGGAGGCTGGACAGAGCTCCGTGTTTACACATGGAAGAACAAGGCAGGCACCGGGAGCAGATATATTTATACCCATCCATTAATAAAAGAAGCCGAGTGAACCATACCTTTGTGCTAAAGTTAGAGCACAGCACTCGGCATGGCCTTAAAAAGGCAAGAGAGTTTCCACAAACTGGGACAGCTGCTCCCGGTGTCGGCTCCGTGCATCCTGACCCCAGCACTGGGAGCAGCAGCGAAACGTGGAGAGGCTTCTCCATGCAAGAAGGCCGACTCCGGGGGTCTGGTCATGGGGTGACGGCCACTGCACATGAGGAGACCTGCAGAAGACAATGACCTCTTTCCATAAGCAGAAATCCTCTGGCTTTGACTCCAGTGCTCTTTGCTTCCCCAGTCATGGGGCTCAGACAAGCCTTCACCTCCACATGGAAGAAGCCATGAGGGCACACTGGCCGCATGGATGGGGCCTTGGTTGGTGGGGCTGTGTCCACCAGCCAGCAGAGGGAAGGGGAGCAGCACCCAAGGGTTGCAGGTTTGGATTAGGGAAGGGTCAGTGCGAGCCCAGGGGGAACAGAGCACCCAAGACAATCAATGGCTTATTGATATAGTGGTTATATTGATGGCTTATATTGATATAACCTCAACTCCAGTTGCAGCAAGTCCCTTACACAGATAAGGCTGGAGCTGGGTGGCCTCAATTCCCAAGCACCAGGGTGCGTTACAACACTGACGGGTAGGAAAGGCCTAGGAAAGCCGGATCTTTGTTCCTTGCTTCTAGAAAGCAATCCATTGTGCTTCTTCTTGCCAATAAACACGAGCTCCTACAGTCATTTCCCTGTCTGCCATCCCTCTTCCCCCCCACTCCAGCCCCTGAACCATACCAGAAGCTCTTTGCTGAACTGGTCCCAGCTCATGTGGAGCTGCAGGAGCCAGCACTGGATGTGCTGTGACAGAAACGACCACGCTGCAGGCAAACTGAGAACCACCACAAACCATAGATCGTGTTTAAGTAAGTGCATCGCAGATTTTGTTCTCCATACCCCAGTGAAAACAGCCACAAGTGACAACCAGTCCCAGCCTGTGCAGAGAAGGAAACGGGACTGAAGGCAAGCACAGGAGGCTACGGGTCACCTCCCACCCTGCAGGACATGCTGAAGTTGTTGGCATTCCAGCATGGATTTCACTCCCGAGCTCATGCTGACGATGCTACAGTTACATGAACTTGACTGACCTTTGAGCAAGACCTATGTCTTGGACCTCCAGGGGTTTCTTCCAACCAGCATCATTCTACAACTTTGTGATTTCCTGCATAAGAACAGAAAGGAAGCATGCAGATCTCTCCCTCCCTCTCCTGTCATCCAGAGGGATGCTCAGGCTGCCATCCCCAAACTCCTATAGTCAGTAACAGACCAGCAGCAGAGTCTGGAGAACAGGCCAGCTTCCCACTGAGGCAGGGATCAGGGCTTCTTCCTGCACTTCCAGGCTCAAATCTCCTGGGGCAGCTTGTCAGTGCCAGTGCAAGACACAGCCTTAGCAGTCACACTGACCTCACCCTGCAGCTCTTCTGCAAATTCAGGTTGGGTTTATCAATCGTTTCAGTAAGATCCAAATGCTCCCCAGCAAACATCACCATTTAGTGACCATGTCCGACCGCGCCACTGCCCAACACAGCTGCACAGCACAAGGATCCTTGCTCAGCAACCACGTTGGTGGGCCTCCGGCTGGCACTGAGCCCTGCGGCCTGGAGCCCATGTCCAGGTTGTTACCAAACCCTCTTCTGAGCTACTTCCTGATGTGACGGAGGGACTCTCACTTGGTAGATGCTACCTCCGCACAGTGAAAGAGGCACTGTGGCTTGCGGTGGGCATTGGGCAGCTGTGACTTGTGGGATTTGCCTTTTATTTATCATAATTACTTATAGTTTACAGAAAGGGAATTCATTAAATGAGCAGTGTTCATTTCCTTAGCCAGCTTGTAGTGCATCCAAGGAATCTGTATCTGCCTCCTTTGACCAGCTCTACTTTTGATAAACTCATCTTAAGCAATGCAATGACCATAGACTCATGTATGATTTGGGTTGGAGGGGACCCTAAAGCTCACCCAGTTCCAACCCCCTTCCACTAGAGCAGGTTGCTCCAAGCCCCGTCCAACCTGGCCTTGAGCACTGCCAGGGATGGGGCAGCCACAGCTTCTCTGGGCACCCTGTGCCAGGGCCTCAGCAGCCTCACAGGGAAGAATTTCTCCCTAATGTCTAATCTAAATCTACCCCCTTTTAGCTTAAAGCCATTGACTGAAATACCCTATTACAACATTCTGAATGACTTACGAGTGAATCCCAGGGTCAGCCATTTTATAGCTTTGCCTTGAAATGAAGGTAGGCAGGGAGACCTGGAGCACCTTTGCTTCGCTCTGGAAGCATGCTTCTGCACCACCTTTCTCCCAGCGCAGCGGATCTTTGTTTCAAAGCCTCTCCCTGTCTCCTGGATGCAGAATCCCCATACCAGCTCTTCCACAACAATTACTCAGCCCTGATTTCCAGGCATCTAATTTTAGCAGTCACTGTTGAACATCCTCTCGAGTTATTGTTAGAATGGAATGAGGATCATCTGACAGGAACACATCGCAGCTCCTCAGTAAATACCGGGAAGGAATACTTAAGGGGCTCAGATGCCTTCCTGCATCCTTACCAACAACCCCACTATGCAGGGACCCATCTTATCCCACCCCTTTTGGTCCAGGTACCTTGCATTTCCAAAAGCAGCAAAATCCTGTGCCCACCTCAACTGTACTGGGCATATTTCGCTCCACCATTTTGCTCAGTTACCAGTTTCCATAATTACTTGTAAATTTGCCACAAGGATTTATTATTTCTCATTTTTAGGATCATTTCAGCTGAAAGAGCATCTGATTATATGCATATCTATTTGCATGAACTCTTTTTCTTGAGGATCTCTTAAGTAGTTCACAGAATATGAATGAATTTCTGCTTGTCTGCAGCACTACTCCTTTTACAGGCAGGACAACAGGGGCCGTCATTAGGAGACATGTCCAAGCTCCCAGAGGAAATTCATGCCGAGCACAGGAACACCAGCTTCCAGTGGTGTGTGTTAACTATCAAACCTGCTCTAACACTGACAGCAGGAGGTTGGCAACACAGGCATTAAAGAAAATGCTGATACTGTAATTTGAAGTCGTCGTCTCTCCTTCCACACCAACAGGTTCAAACACAGATTAGGCTTGGAAAGAGAGGAAGAAACCCAGGCTCCTTATCAGGGAGCAAACAAACGGCCCTTTTCTTCTAGTAAGCAGCTATGGGAAAGAACAGCAAGGAAAGGTGCTGGTGTATGAACAGACAGCGCTGGGATTTTGCCCTTCATAGAATTGTGGACTAGTTTGGGTTGGAAGGGACCTTCAATGGGCATGAGTCCAACCTCTGCAGTGAGCAACTCCAAGGAGATCAGACGGCTCAGCACCACATCCAGCCTTGAGTATCTCCAGGGATGGCGCATCCACCAGCTCTCTGGGCAACCTGCTCCAAGGCTTTGCCCTTTATCACTGTTAGAAGATGCTATCATTCTCATTCTTCACACCAGCCTCCCTTCTTCGTGTTTTACTTGCTAGGGAGGTAAACCAGCGAAGTTCATGCAGCTGCACTGAAAAACAAACAACACATGGGAGCCAGCAGACTGGTGTTTCTCTCTTTTATTTAAAAACAGTGCTTCATTACCATTTGCAAAGGGTTAGGAAGGGTTTCCCCCCTTGCTTAGAGTTTATAAAAGCCAGCAACATGATCAATAATTTATACACATGGATAGTAATACAAAAAAAAGGAATAAAAGCTAAAGATCTAACTACTCCGACCTTCACAATTCCAGCTACTTGATAATAATAGGAATAACCCAATGAATACTGTATGGTCTGAAAGCTACTATACAATATGATACTTAACGAGGGAGGGCGGGAAGTTAGAGGCTGTCACAAAGCCCTGGGATGCAGATACTGCTTCTCCAGAGTCAGCAGGGAAATGGGACCCTGGGCAAGCGGCTTGGGCGTCCTAGGAAATGATCCAGGGGAAGGGAACGCATCCCACTCGGGACACATCCTGTTCCCCAGCGGTACCTGGCAATGGGAGGTGCTGGGGAGACCGCGTGAAGGGGCAAGTCCGTCGCTGCCATTGGAGGTGCTGTGGCATCTCAGCCTCGCACTGAACATCTCCAAGTCTCAAGTAGATCAGCCTGTGAGGTCAGTAAAATACTCCACCAGCTCCACTATCGCTCTACAGCCCTGGTTCTCATCTGCTATCAGCCCCAGGTTTTAACTCCAGCTATTTACAAGCGGGATTTATCATGTAAAAAAATAAAAGAGAAAAAAAAAGGAAAAAAAAAGGAAAAAAAAGGAAAAACCCAAACCCAAATCACATCCCCTGGGGTAAGAGGGGATTATCTTGTCACTTGATAACGCAGCTGAATCGAGCTGCTGAAACTACAACACACACACACACACGAAATACTGTGAGCAGGAAAAGAATCGATAGAAAAACATGACCAAAACCGAGATTACTGATGTGGGAGAGGCCCAAATTCTGTAAGGAATTCCCTCCTCAGGGAAGCAGCCAACCCCTCCAGCAGCAGAGAGCTGGGAAGCTGGCAGGAGATTTACTGACCCGCTTGAGAACGAACAAGCAAACAAAAAGAAGAGTAAAAAAGCAAATCCATTCCTAAGATGAACCGGCACTTTGCTGACTGTCAGCCAAGGCAATGTGCGGGTGGACGGCTTCGGACACCAGCAATCTCCTGGTGAAAGCAGGCAAGGGGTTTTGGCTGATGTGTTCTTGCTCAACCACGAGTCAAGAGGCAGCGTGGGAAGCCCCAGAGCCTGTTTGCCAAGGGCCCCATTTCACGCTCCGGCTATCAGACTCCTGCTTGCCTTGTTGGCTGGAGTTTTTACTGTAGAAGAGAAGTTTAACCAGGGTTGGAGGGCAGAGAGGGCAATCAATGAGGTGGGGGTGGAGGGAAGGGGCTTTTCAGACATTAACATCACCAAAAATAGTGTTTTATGCAACAAGGAATCAAGTCTCACTGGTGTATACTACAAAATGTTTGACGTTTCCCAAGAGCATGTCAAAATAAAACCACAAAGAAGTTTACATTGGATGTTCATCTTGTTCACTAGGTTGGGGTTTTTTTATCCCCCCCCTCCTATATCGAAACAGTGCAAACAGGTAACACACTTGAAAAATCACCCCTCTGCACCAAGGACAGCGTCCCCCTGACCCCGCCAGGCTAGAGGGCCACAGCAGCAGGCTGGCTGTGCCTGCTGCTTTCCCTTTGGAGCTAGACTCGGCAAAGGCGCTCCCCAGAGCTGGTGTTCTGGGTTTCCCTTTATTGAATTCCTAAGTGCTCCCCAAACCCGTTCTCCACTTGCCTCCTCCTTCAGGGCCGGGATGGGAAGGTACACACAGGGATGGGTGGGAGCTGGGAGGCTCAGCTTTGTGTTCCCTGCTGCTGTGAAGCTATGGGTGCCGGACCTGAAACCCCAGCAGCCAGCTCTCTTCTGGGGCAAGGAAATCATTTCATTAACCGTTTCACCACCAGGACTCGAGCCAGCTATTCAGGTAACCCTCCTCAGCTCTTGCTGTGCCCTTCACATCCGTAAGATCTCAAAATGGGAGAGAACAGGGGATATACTTTCACTTCACTTTAGGGACAGGGAACCGAGGTCTAAAGTAGCAACATGACTGCTCCATGGTGACCCTTGAGGACAACTGACAGAGCCCAGCTCAAAACACAGCTCTTGGCCTCCTGAGCTAGCGTTCTTCCTGCTGGGCAAGTCTGCTCTCTCTCAGGCACTGAAACAGCCAAGCCACAGCTATTCTGAAACATGGCTTTGTCAATCTGAACTCATGACACAGCATCCACCTAACTGCTTAACCTGGGAGAAGCTGGCTCTAGCCGGCTCATACGGAGCTCCCCGTTGTCTCCAGGGCCCATCATGGCTTTACTTAGAAAAGCTAACCCACCTACAGCAGTGCAGCCTCCCTAGCACAGGGACAGCAACAACGGTTTGTTAACATGCTGGGTATCAATATAACTTATTCCCAGTAGAGAATATGCTATACCAGCAGAAGTCATCTTTGTACCAGCACAACTGTACCCACAAGGAAAGACAGACCAGCATATTAAAGAAATCAACTCTTCAATCCAAAATTTCATCAGTATAATATCATGTGCTGGCCAGACCTATTGCAAGACAGTACAAACAGCAACACTTCAAGAAACATCTCTTCCTCTACATCAAGAGGAATCCCAGATGCCACCAGACTAGAAGGTGACACGTAGCAAGCTATTTGCCAGGCTGCCTGTGCGGTTTCCCTCGGAAAGCCAAGCCCTGCTCTGCGAGGGACCTGTGGCTGCAGACCCATCTCAGGGCAAGCACCAGCTGCCATCGGTCAAATAAGCCAGGGCCCAGTTTAATTCATTAAGTTTAATTCATTAAGTGTAATTAATTTTGCATAGGGAGATATAGGCTTTGTCCTCACTTCTTTAGAAGATGGATATAGCCACGGCTTGGTTACTCTGAATGCATATCAAACCAGTTCATAATACATCTGAGTGAAACCAGAGCTGTTGTTTGCCAAGGGGGAAGAAAGGCTGAAGAGCTCTCCCACCATGGCCCAACACTCACTCAAAATTCCAGCTGGCATGCAAGTTTCTGGGAGGTCCGGTGCTCTGGAGACCTGGAACCAGTGAGCTCCCCCCAGCCCCCAGCCATGCAGGCATCCCAGCATCCCCTCGGCAGCCTACTGCTGAGAGCAGGAAACTGGGATACCAGCGAGCTGCCTCAGTGGGCATCCTGCAGCATTACCTATAGAGTCAAGGAGACGCTGGCTGGCTAATGCACTGGAGAAGCCTGGCAGGGAGCTACTGGAGCAGGCTGGGCTCGGAAACAGGAGAAATCAGGCTGGATGGTCTAGAGCAGGTATTTCTCGGAGATCATAGAGCAAGGGACTACAGCCCTGCAAAGGCTGGGCGCTTCTGCACTAAACCCCTCACTCTCCTAACATACTCAGGAGGGCTGAAGCTGCCATGCATAGACTCTGCTCGGGGGCAGAAACGGGGCTGGCCTCCCTACTCCCAGAGAGGCCAAGGGGTGTGGGGGGGGATTGCAGGCAGCACTGCCAGGGCAGGGGAGGGCACTGGGGCAGTCAGAACCAGCTGAACTGAAAGGTAGGAAAAGGGGCAGAGGGATGAGCAACCACCACTGCCAGGCTCCACAAGCTGCGCTCCTCCTGCTCGCAGCCTGCTGCACCAGAACTGCCCGTGGGCGAGGGAAGGGACGGCCTCACGCAGCCCCTCTGCCCACAGGTAGGTAGAACCAAGTCCAGTAGAGACTTCTGCTGCAGAAGTCCCCTGGCTGCCCTGCGGTGGAAACGGCTCCCCTTGAATATGACTGTTTCTCCCACCAGTCCTCACTCCCCCCTACCCCAAACTCAGGCAGTAAAGGCCCCTGGACACCCCCTGAGTGCCCCTCATTTCCTAGATTTTGTGAAAGCCCCAACACGCTGTTCCCCCCTCCCCTTTTTCAAGCTAACTAAAATATTTATATACAAACAACAACGAAATTGTCATAACAGCAACAAACCAAACTTTGGCTTGGAAAACAAGAAAGTTTAAAAACCAACAATAAAACCAGAAAGAAAAAAAAAACAAACCCAAAAGGTGGCCAACAGGCTGGCAGTTTGGTGTCCCCTTTATCTAGCTATTCCTCCAGAGAATCAACAGCTTCAGGGTCTCTAGCTTAACTAATGGCTTCCTCATTCTTCCCATTTGAGGTGCCTCCTCTCTGCCACGCAGAGAGGACACGTGTGTCGCTAGGGAAAGAGCAAAGAAATTCATGGTTGTGCGTGGCTGGGCCAGGACACCTCCCTGGGAGCTCTGCCTGTCGACATCGCTTAGTGTTAAACGCAGGAGGTTTCCTATGCTGGTATCAGCAGTGGATGGAGCAGCCGGTGTACGACAGGAGTTGGAGAGGCTCCACCAACAAACCCACACTCCAAGCCGTCCTTCTGTGGGCAGTGAGCTCACCCGCGTACCCATCGAGGCAGCCTAATCAAACCATGCTTCTGCACTCCTCTGCCATGTGGTTGAGACCCTGCCTCTGAGCACGGGGTTACTGGGGGCACTCTAGGA